ATCTTGTTGCTGTCTATCATAAGTTTTACTATCTGTATTATAGTTGGTTTTATTTTCAGCAGTACCTAAAGCTCTTGTAATGACTGATGAATAAGCAACTTGACCTTGTGATGCTGGTCGTGGTACAGTAACATCTAATGGTGATGGTGGTGTAACTTGTTGTTGTACAGTTCCCTTATATGATGATCCACTTGCACATTGATTTGCATTTTCCGTATGTTGTTGTAAAGGTGAAGGAGAAGACATAGTAGCCATTGGACTATTATACATAGGATAAGCAGGACTTGGAACATGTCCCAATGGACTTGCTTGTGAATGTGCTTGTAATGGACTTGGCCTTCTTGGTACAACAACACTACAATCAGGTCCATTTTGTGTGGAATTGTTAGAAGAATAAGCAGAATCAGTAGAAGCTGCAGATTTTGATCTTGCTGAATGATGATATTCAGAATCAGCTGTAGATCCTGTTAGATAATGTCTATATGATGTTTGTTGTTGTTGCTGTTGTTGATTTAAAACATGAAATTGTTGCTGTTGCTGCTGTTGTGGTTGCTGAGAATGAGTTTGTAAGTTACTGTTTGATTGACTTCTTTGATTATTATTAAGTTTTCCACTAGTATTTGTACAATTTGTATTATTTCCAGTAGTATAATTCAAACTACGTGAATCCATAATGGAAAAACTGATAGGAGATGATTGGCTATTATCGTGAGATGTTTGTTCGTTTCGTCTATGTTCACTGTTATGTGTATTTAATTCTGGATATATTTTTGTCTGTGCTTTAGTTTGAATATTTTGTTGAGATGTAGAAGTTGCTTTATGGGGAGGCGAAGCGAAACTTCTAGTCGATTGCTTATCTTGAATTTGAGAAGATACGGATCTGATAGATGTATTTAAAAATATAGTTGTTGATGCAATTGATCTAGCAGGTGGTTGAGGAATTCTATATTCTTTATTGGCCGTATTATTTGTAGTTGAAACAATACATGATTGATGATGAAGAGAAGATTGTATTTTCCCATTTGAAGTTTGATTTGCATTACCAGTAGAATAATTATTTGCTAATGTTTCAGAATTGAATGTAGTAGATACTGGTTGAAAAAAATTTTGATTGCTATTTGTTTGTGTTGTAGAAACTACTGATTTAACACTTACTGTTGGTGATTGAGGCCTTATATTTACTGTCTTTTTACTATCTGGGAAATTGGATGATTTAAATTCAGCAACAGAAACCGAAGGTGTAGTCAATTGAGAGTTTAAATTATTTATAGTTTGTGTTGTAGCAAAATTAGAATTAAATGTATTTTCATAAACACCACTAGTTGGTTTTGTAGTAGATGATGGTCCTGGAGATGAAGGAACAACACTTTCATGAGGCAAAATACCAAATGGACTAGGTAATTGTGCATTGTTCTGATGAGTCCAAGCCAATGTAGATGTTGTAGGCGATGTTGCCGCACCTTGATGTTCAAAAAATGTTGATTGATGTGCTGAACTATAATTTTCTCTTAGTACAGGAATTTCAGATTCTGTTGTAGTATTTTGTTTTGTTACTGACACTTGTGCTTGAGCAAGAGCTTGCCTATGTTGAGTAACATAATGTGCTTGTTTAGGATTAGGATGATGAAACAAGGGTGTGAAAACATCATATCCCACAGGGGGTGGAGACAAAAACCCCCCTGGGTTGAATGGAGATGGTTGTCCCGCCAGAGTTGCAGTTGTATGAGCTGCTTGTAAAAGTAATTGTGATGTTGTTGAAGGAACTGCTTGAGTAGTAGCTGTTGCTAAGTGATGAGATACAAAATCACTGTTTGTGCTTGAAGTTGTTGGTTGAAATGTACTATTTGTACTACTTGCAGCAAGACGATTATATGTTGCATACCATGGACGAACAGGATCCATTACCCAAGCTTGGCACGATAGTGCCTAGCTTGTTTGATTTATGTACAGCAAGCTCTTATATATATATAAATGTTATATATATAGTTTCTGATATTCATAACACAACTTTTTGTTGAAACTTTTGTATATCCATTTCTTATATACAAATAGAAAAAATTAATAAAATCTCTTTCACTGTGTATATGGTTTATAAACCTTTATCCAATAATTAGGATTGATAATGTGATATAATAGTTGCCCCATCTTTTTCTGAAAAAATATATAGTTTTTATATATAATTTAATGACATATAAAATAAATATTATAAAGATGATTTATAAGTATTTATGTATAATTATTTATAGTAATTTACATGTATTACATATTTATATTATATAAAAAAATTTTAATACATAATTTATTTAAAATGTTAATATAACAATATATTGTAATTAGGTTTTATTACTAATAAAGGATTTTGTGAAGGGAAGAATAAAATCATTTACACAAATATTATAATAATACAATGAAAAAAATTTTATGAAAATACTTTAAAAACATTTAATACATAATTATATAATACACTATTTAAATATTATTTAGTAAATAAATTGTCAAATGATCATACATCACAACAATAGATATATTAAATTTTTTAGCACATTTTCACTTTTTTGTGTTTAAAATATTGTAAATAAATAAATACATAAATTACTGAATTGATTATTACAATGGCATATAATTTAATAAAAAAAAATACTCACTTTTTTCGTAAAATCCTTAATGCACCACACAACACAATGTGTGCTACCAAGGATAACAAGGATACCACAAATAAGTTTTAAGATATTGCACGACTTGCACCGTTTGAAAATTATAAAAAGAGAGAGAGAAAGTAATTGTGGTTTGAAAAAGAAACAATCAATGTGCGCCGTTTTTGAAGAATTGAAGAGAACTCAGTGTAGCGTCTTTTCATGTCCTATTGTCCTAAGGTCCTTAAATGTTTTATATGTTATAATCTCTTTTTGTTACAGATAACAAAATCGTCACATTTTTTACAAAAATAAATGTTGAAATAATGATTTTACCTTTAATAATAAAGCCATATGTCTTCATTACCAATTACATTTGCCGGTGTATAAGATATAACGTCTTGCCGAATAACACAATAAATATGGCTACACAAACTTAGCCAATGCACGACACACGATCGGCTGGCACTATGATTGCGCTTACATGATTTAACCATTCGAAGAAAAGTGTACATTCCGGATACAATCTAGACTCAATACTCGCATACACACCAAGGCGAGTTAACTCTGAATGGTCTCATTTATCGCGGGGAATCGAACAATATTACCCCACAGTGCCCATTACAGGCCGCCATTTTGAACGAAATCAACAATAAACTGCGCCATCTACTGACTATGAATTAGAGAAAAGAATCAACAGGCGCGATTTTTTAAGAAAATCAAGAATGAACACTTATCCTCGATCTACACTCATTCTTACATTATAAACAATTTCATTTCCTAGAACTTCTGCATTATTCAGTATGATTGTATACATTAAATTTGTCACATTTTCATCTTACCTTATTATATGTACTTCAAATTTAAATATAATCTAAAGATTTAAATAATAAAATTTGAAAAACCTATGCATACTGAGTAATATATTCATGAAACATTTTTAGGAAATCGATTTTAGAGGCTAAAACAAACATAAAAATTTATATACAAAAAACATTAAAACTTATTTATTATTAAAATTATTAAAAATAATTGAAGTTCTGATTAAATAAAATGAAATAAAATGGAAAAAGATTTTATTATCAATTTTCGCAAATTTCAATTGCTTATAAATAAGTTTTATCTGACATTTCTGTTACCAATTTTTGTGCTTGATTTTTAGAATCAATTCTCCAAAAATGTCCCACAAATATTAACATCTTATATATTATATAAATACAACTATATATAATTTATCAATTAATAAATCTATTAATAAAATAATTTTAATATTTGTTAAATTTGTTATATTTTAATATTTATATTAATAAATTTGATATTTTAATAATAGAGGAAACCAATACTTTTTGAATAGGATATTAACTAAATACGAATTCATAATAATAACATTTATTATAATGATAATGCAAGAATATATTTATAATTGATATTGATAATGTAATAATCATTATAGCATAACTTTCAATTATGATCTTCAAGAGTCTTTACTGATTGAATTAAGTATCACTCATCTCAGTAACTGCCAAATTATTGCTACTATAGGGAAAGTGAGCAGGCAGTTTACAAAATCTCCTGTTGCAAATTGCTTTACCCAATAATATAAAAAAAAATAGGATTCAACAATTAAGACACTTAGTTGAGTATATCGCAGATATCATAAAAAGTATACTGATGCCACTGTATATAAATAAATTTTTAAGTAAAAAAAATTTGTTTCATTTAAAATACAAATTACATTATACAAAAAGAATTTAGACATTGTATATATATATATATCAAAAAGAAGTTTGTCATTAATATTGTCAATAATATAAATATTGAAAATATTTGTAATTTAGAAACAATCAAAGATTAAAACATTGAAGTTTCTATTAATATAGTGGCAATATCACAGTTACTTTGATATCATACAATAAACATTGCGCCTAACATGTATCTATCTATGTAATTACATTTTATAAATTTTAAACGTTTTATATGCAATCATATATAATTTGTCTGAAAATTTATAAATATTTATTCTACATTTTTTTATGAATTTAAATTTTTGTTTTTAGCATCATCATCATCTTATATTAATGATCAAATAATATAAGATGTCCAATATGATACATAATAATCTATGGAAAAAAATAAATAATTTATGTGCTATATGTATTATGAAAATATTAATGAAATGAAGTTTCTCTTATAAATGAAGTAAAATAACATATTTATGAAAATTTTTTTAAACAATAATAAACACGATTATGTAAGAATAAATAAACAATGTGGCAGCATAGGATGCATGACACGATTTAGCTTTGGTTTTTGTGAAATACACCCATATCAATCCTTAATTACGGTAACATTATAAAATGCAATATATATAAGATGACCAATATTGCTCAACTTTATTCACGTTGCTTTCAATTATACGACAAATTATTTAATGGCTACCTCATTTGCATCTTACGTTGTTGCCAAACTGCAAATTTTCTATATGCTGTATTTAATAACTGATTTAAATGATTTGTCAAATGTTGACTAACAGCAGAAAAATCTCGTTGAACACGATCCTAGAAAAACAAAAATTTAAGATATAAAAATAAAATAGATCAATGTATATAAAATATATAAAACTTTATAAAATTTACTTCAAATGGTTTAAGTTTGGCAGAATGAAATCTGTGTAATGCTTCATGCATTCTAATGGCTTTTTCTTCAAGCTGTGGAGTTGTAGGTGGAAAACTTCTCCAAAAATGCCTTAGAAGTTCACATGTACATACATATACATTACGTAATTCTTTTTCTAAATCCTTTGGTATTAATTCTATATATAAAATAAATAATATATTACACAATTATTTTTAACTTAATTTATTTACAATTATCTTTAACTAATTTTTCATTAATTATTATCCAATCATAATCATAATCCAATAAATTATACATGCTTACGTCCAAGACTTTCCTCTCTGAAACCTTTCATTAAAGAACCACCAGGAGTTAATTCTCCCAGAGCCGAAACTGCTGCAGCTGGACTAACTAATGATGTTGCTAATTGCCGTGGTATATTATTTCCTGTCAACCAACCAGTTGCTTCTCTTTTTAATTGATTTAATGTTATAAGAAGTTCTTCAGATGTTGGTTCTATATTACTGTATCCTGGAACTGGACCATGTAAATACCTGTCTACATGATTTAAATTTAATGGTGTATTATTATTTGTGTTTATATCATGACTGGTATCAAGATCATCATAAGTTAATTTTTCTTGTATTCTAAGCTGAAAATAAAATATATATACATTATTATTAAATATATTATATATTAATATTATATATAAATATAAATCATATTATAATTTTACCTTTTTAGTCTTTGGTTGTTCATCTAACTGATTAGAGAATGCTGTAGTTTTACTTGCTGATGATGTTGAGCCATTTAATTGTGGTTGAATGGACTGTGTAGATTGTTTGGCAGTGCTGGCTTTTAAAACCATAATGCTATGTTGATTGAATCTCTTAATCATACTTTGATGTACAATATTTCCTGAAATTTTATCAGATTTACTGGGTCCATTTCCATAATTCTCATCTAAAGTTTGATCCTCAAAAGAACTTATATCCACCAATGGATCATCAATACCCGATTGAATATCTTTTTTGAGTTCTTGATCATCTATTTTGGCACATTCGGTAAAAAGATCCTTGGTCCCTGCATTGATACGATCTCGATGAAAATAATGTGATTGAAAGAACTTTGTCCAAAAATCTGATTCTGTCATTTTATGAGGCACATTTTCTTGATGTTTTCTTTTTACTGCTGGATAAGTCTTAAATATACATTCTATAATATCAACAGTTAAATTATATTTCAATCCATTACAACCATCAGTTTGTGGTTTTATATCAGCCTGTAAATAATACATTTATCAATTTTTTCTTTCATAATTTAATTTGTATTATTATATTAATTTAATTTTTAATGTATTATTATTAAATATAATTATATATTTATATAATAAATATATAACAAAATATTCTTACCAAGAAAGCACTATTTACACCAATTTCTTGTCTTTGACTTTTTTTAGCTTGAGTATATTCTGCAGCATGTTGTGACCAAAATTCTTCAGATGAAATAACTTGTGTAATAACTAAATCCCTATATAATTGAAGCAGTACAGGATTTTCTTGAAGCATCCTATTAAAAAATATTATAACTTATTTATATGAATAATATAAAAAAAAACATAATATAAAAGATTTTACCTATTTTTTTCTTCCAATTCTTTATTTACTTTTCTTTTAAATTTTGGTAATAATTGTTGCAACAATTCTTTTACATCATCACGATCTTTAATTTGTGCTTCTTGTCCATTTCTGTTTACAAAATGAAATGTAGATGATGAACCATCATGCAATACAACTTGTAGTTGTATTTTTGATTTTCCTTCTGGTGATATTTTTTGTACTAAAAAAGAAAATATATTATAATATATTAACATTAAATCATTAAATCATTAATTGCATTCAAAGAAATATCTAATATATATTTTCAATAATTCATCCATTAGTTTTTTAAAATAAAAATAAATTATAAATATATATTTAATAGAAGTTAACATAAACAAATAGAGATAAATTATTAATATATTATTATGTTGAAAGCAAAAAAATGTAGTAAATTTATAGCAAAATGAGTTTTCTTCAATAATTTTTTTATTGAGCAATATTTGGCAAATTACACAAATTTTCTTACACTTAATATCGGCATATTTATGACTGACTGATACAGTATCTCTATTATCAAGCATCCAAGCTATTCTTTCATTCATAACATATAAAGTGCCATCTCCTTTTTTATAACGAACTTGTCCTACTTGCATTAGAACATCTTCTGATGATGTAGTCATGGTGGATGTAATATATAATATATATAATATAATTCTTCTAAAAATGACAAATATGATCCTAAAAAAAATAACCAGAATCTAAACTTTATATTCATAAAAATATATATAATATATACTTATATCATAATTATATATTATTAGAATATATTTTAAATATATAATAAATATATAAATAAGCATACTCTAAATAAATAAATATAAATACTTTAAATAAATAATTTTGTTACAAATCAATTTTATTTCTATGACTTTTTATATAAAATAAATCTCTATTATATAATATTAAACATTTACTTTTATAAAATATTTAATCCTTACAAATATTCAAAAAATAAATATTATAGTATAGATAATTAGATATACATTTAATGAATAAACAAATTTCATTCAATTAAAAGTTACAAATTGCAAAAAAAAATAAAAGCAACAAATATACGTATATACGTAAAATATAATTATTTAGAAATATAATTATTTAGAAAAAAGCTTTAATTTAAATTATATTTAAATTTATAATTCGTAATTGTATTTAATGAAAATTTATGAAATAAATATTTCTCTAAAAAATATTATTACAATAACTTATACAAGTAATTTTTTAATGATTATAACAATAGAAATTTATATTAGTAAATAATTAAAGCACTAAATCTTTTAATAAGCTAAATATCTATAATTTTATTCATTTTTACAATTTCTGTATAAAATAACGTAACATATTTGAATCATACAATTTTAGATAAGATGTATTAATATATAAGAATTATGATTTATTTGTCGCTGTGCGTCCTTGAATATTACATTACAACGTAATGACTTAAAAAAAAATCTTCACTGATAAGATCTTATAACATAAAATTATATAAAATCGACTATAGTTTCATAAATAATGAGTTTTTTGAAAATCCAGGAAAAATGCTAACTCTATATCGCGAATTAAACACTGATGCGATATTACCAAAGACTCACTTTTTGACTCATTAATTATAATTATCGACACGAAAAACGTTTTTTGTATAGTTCAAGGCACAAAATACGTATTTTTTAATCGTTGGAATAGAAAATTTAATTATAATAAGTCCATTTACCGGTGATAAAGTGCGAAAAACTGTAGAACAATACAGAAGCCCGTTGGGCGGCACGGCCATGTGCAGAAACACACATCAGTGGACGCATCACGAAGCAAAGACGGCTGCAAACGAACCGTCAGTACGAACAGCACCATCGACCTGCTAAGACTACCGCACTCTGTTGTTCGACTAAACTTCTATAATGCTTCCTGTACTTTAAATATTTCTTTCTTCTTTCTTTCTTATTTGAACAAATATTTTAACTATAATTATATGTTCTATTCATTTATTTCAATCTTAAATTATTCATAAAAATTCAAATAGTAAATAATAATATTTTCTTTTTAAGAAAGTTGTGAATTTGACTCAAACTGCGTAAGTTAAATCTGTGCAATACAATATAAACATGCATTATGTGAGGGCGCTGAAATATAGATTTTATAATTATAAAATATATTTAGTATACGTTATATGATATATGAAGCAGAAGTTGTAATTAATTAAAATAAATAAAAATAAATATGAAATATTTTTTAATATATCACGTGAAAAAATATTTTTTTAAGTGTCGTAATAAAAGTGTATACAAAAAGATGCCCTCTATTTTCATTTCATAGAATTGAGTAAAATATAATTTACTGTACACTGATTGGTTATTTTCTTATTTTTATAATATAATATTATTATGAATATAATATTGATTATATGTATTTATTTGTATATGTAATTTTAATCTAAATTAATATGTTACATAAACATTACTTATAATTTATTATTTATTTTAAAATTATTTTCATGAAAACTTAATAATATAGCGCTTTACAAAAAAAACTTATAAATTTTTAATATTTTTAATATTAATGAAAATAAAGAGCCTTGTTAATAAATTAAAAATTTATTTATAATTTTAAATTGAAAAAAATGAAAGATGTGATTTCTATAATAATATTATTATAGAAATATTATAAATATTAAAAATTATTCAATAATAAAATTGTAAAATTCAAATTTTTTATTTTATAATTTAATATAATTAGTTTTATAATATGAATTATATAACAAACAAATATATAAAAGAATAATAAAATCTTATGAATATTAGAGACATTTAATATAGCATTTTTCGAATATAGATATAGAAGTTCATTCAATAGATATATACTTATATATAGCATATAAGTTACTAATAATTATTGATTTTATTGATATAAATTTGAAATTGTAACATTTAAATTAAATATATTTCATAAATATATTTACATAATAATGACAGTTAGTAGTCAGGAAGGTATACATATATTTTATTAATAATATATTTTTCTTAAAATTCAAAAGTTTTTAAATATTTTGAAAACATAAACATTAATGTGGCTGTGTTAATTATTTTCAAATATTTATTTATTAAGACGATGTTATTTATAATATATAATAATAGAATTTTATAATAGGATTTAAATATATCATACAAAAACAAGAACAACAAAAAATATGTTTTGGATCAGGATGTCCTCGAGATGTTTCAAAAAAATATATGAATCCATTTATGAGATATTATACATTAGAAGATTATCCAAATGTAGCACCAAATTCATACAATGTTCTAAAATCATTTAAAGCAATTAAAACGAAGGTATAGTTAATTGTTAAAAAATATTAATTATTAAATTTTAATATCATAAAATAAATTTATATTATACATATATTTTTTTTACTTTATTTCAGCCTTGTTCTCATAGTATTAGTAAAAAAGGTTACAGCGGAATTGCTAGATTTAGTAAAAAAATTATGTTTAAAGATAGTTATCCATCACCATCACATTATGATACTTATGTATTTCCTAAATTAATACATAAATCCAAGTATCCATTTGATTCGAATAGTAAAAGACAAACATTTTTTAGTAATACAATGCCAGGGTATAAAATTAATATTGTTGCAATATTTATATAATATTAATTTAGCTGGTATAAATTAATATTATATAAATATTGTATGTAGTCCAGGAATGTATGCTAATATGAAAAAAAAAGTTAATATGGTACAGCATAGTTTTGGAGGTAAAGTCAAAATGAAACTTGGAGTGGAGCTTAAATGTTGTAATCGTAATACAGATTCTTGCAAAATATGTGGAAAAAAGCCAATTGGTGATTATTGGCATTTTAAAAATGAAGTATTTTTATGTAGATCATGTATGGATAAAGAATATGAAAAAGAATAAAATTCAAAAGAAAGGAATTAAAAAAATTTCATGTAAGCATTTATTGTGAAAAATTATAATTATAATTATATATGAATGTATATAAATATATATATTTGATTTTTATTTATTTATATATTTATTTTAGAAAATACGTGATTGTTCAATTATGCATCAACATGAAACTACAACTGCAAAAATATGGTTGATACATCCTGCAAGAGCTGAACAATGGATACGTAAAGAAGCTTATCTTTCTATTTATTTTAATGAATAGATTTATACATATTATATAATTTTTATATAATAATAAAAATAAAATATATTATTTTAAAAACTTAGCAAAATGAATGAAATTTATTTTTAATATTTATTTTTCTCATGTTTTTTAGAAAAAAATATTTATTATTATTATTTGATATATATTCAAAAAATTGAATAACTGTTATAATTTATTTGATTTATTAATACAAATCTCTTTTATTTATGTATACAAAGATCATATAAAAAATAATTAAATTATATATATTTATCATATTCTAAACAATTTATTAATATTAATAATAAATTCTATATAATGTGCATTATACATTATATACTATTATATATATATAATAATTTCATATAAATATTACTTTTTTAACAAATTATAATTACGTATTATTTTATTAATGTGTATAAACTAAATATTTTAAGTATTATAATAGATGCATACACGTACGCACGCGCCCATATACACACACATACACACGCACAAACATATTATGCAATTAATAATTAAAACTTATATGCATATTATAAAAGAATAAACTATATTTAAAATTTAAACAATATATTAAAACGTATATAGTATTTTTTTAATGCTTATACATAATAAGAAAAATATTTTAAGATATTTATAGATTTTTTTTTTACTGTTATAATTATGGATATAATATAAACAAATTTGTATTAATTATACTTAATTATGAATGAAGAATTTCATTTTCTTGTTGTATAATTACTGATTTTTTATTATCTTCTATAGGATTACCACCATCAGGAGCTTGTCTTGGAAGCGCTAAATCTGATGTTTCAAAAGATATAGAATCACCATTTTCAATCATTTCTGAATCAATTGATTTTATCATTGAATTTGCAATCGATATGGTTGTAGTCGATTCCGTACTATTATTTATCAATTGGTCATTATAATTTGTATCATGGAAACCAATCAAATCAATACTGCTATCAATATTTTCCGATATTCCAGATGGTGTTGTTCTAAAATGTTCAGTATTTTCTATAGATATATTAGTTCCCCTTAAACCATGTATTTTGTTCAATTTATTTTTTGATACATTAAATTCTTTGCTATATCGATTATCTAATTCTTTAATAGTTTCTTCTTCCAATGATGTATGTGGGTAATATAAATCAGGCATTAAATGTTGATATAAAGATAAATTACAAATATCATTTAAATCCATATGACGAATATTTGAAGTTATAAGATATGTTGTTAATTCATCGCATTTAGATGTATTGCTATTTTCTTCAGCAATTAGTTCTTCACGAATTACTGTTGACATTTTATTAGCAATTTGTGAATGAAAAGATATATCTGATGAATCTTGATCAGATATATCAACTTCTCTGGACATAGAATTTGTTACTGGATTTACCGAATTTTTTATATTATCCATTTGTGTATGTGATGTAAATATTTTAAGTTCTTCATTACTATCTTGTAAACAACTATTATTTGGTAAATTTGTTAATACATTAGTGATATCTTTTTCCATTGGCATAACTTTAGTTAAATAAGATTGTGCAGGAAATTGTGAAGAGAGTTTATCAAGTAAATAGTTTATATGTGCTTTAGTTCCTTGTTTTGGATAGTCAATAAAAGTATCGTCTAATGTCTTAATATTTTGCACTAAATGTTCATTTTGTTGTTGTATATCAGAATTATCATTTAATAAATTTCGTTTATCGTAAGAATTCAATATTTTAGAATTATGTTTTATTATTTCGCAACTAACTGAATTATCACAACTGATATAAGTTTTTGATAAGAAATTTTGAATGTTAAATTTTGTTGTTTCATTTGATATATTCTCATTTTCATTTTCTTTAATATTTCTGTCTAAACATATTTTATTGTTATAATCCATTGCAGCAATAGATACTACTGGATCGATAATTTTATGATCGTTATTTCCGTTATCGCTGGTTAATTCATTTAATTCAAATTCATTTTCCAAGTCATCTTCGAAAGCTGTACTTGTGACATCATGTAATCGTGATTTTAGACGTTTTGTGATTTCATCTAATTCAGTTAATTTTTGTCTATAAAAAATATCGAGCTTATAATTACACAAAAATATCATTGTAAAATGAGAAAATATAATCAAATTTACTTACTTCAAGGATAAGGATAAAAATGACATAGATACATCTTCAAAATCAATATGAGTGTTCGAATCATTTAATTGATTTTCATTATGTAATAATTTCTCTTCTTTTTGTACAACTGTTGATAAAGTATAATTGATATTATTTCGTTCAATATCACGAGAATCCATTTCATGAGCATGTAATGGAATCTTACTTAATTGTGGCATGGAATATGTTGGTAATCGAGTTATTGATCTTCCAAATAGTGATAAATTATCTAATGGTGTTATACATACCTAAAATATAAATAGTTAAATAAAAAATAAAATAAAGAATAAAATAAATAATATATAAATGAAATATATAATACTTTAATTTGTCCATTGCATTTTCCAGTGAAATCCATTATATGAAACCAACCAGATACTGTTGGAAAACCATTTTTTAAAATAGAAAGATCAATAGCAGAAAATCCAAGAACAACATCATTTTCCAAATTTATTTGCATACTGATATCTGTATCTAATATCCGCCAAATTTTTAAAATTAATCTCTTTTTGTACCTAAAAAAAAAAAATAATTTAA